ATTAAATATTGAACTTTTAGCACAATAACCTATGAATCGTGGGAAAAAGAAATTGGCACAGTAAAATTATCTTTTTATGTTGATATGTTTTCTGATACATCAAGCCACTTTATATTTAATCCACTTATATTTATTTTAATGTTGTAGCAAAGTTATCACTTTAACCACTTTGCAGTGTCCAATTCTGTGGTATCCACTTACAGTGGTATACCTTCACACTGCTATATAATTATAATTAGAGATTTAGAACATGACATTTGCTTGTTGAGCTTGATATATGAGGCTTGTCTGCAACATGAATCTTGATTAGGGAAATAGACATTGCATCAAAAGGTGGAGGTTACTTGCACAGGTTGTTTTAAATGTTGCATCACCATGTGTTTTTGGGGCTTCAATATACTTTTTCTTTGTGGTACATCGAATAACTGAGATGAGTTGTATTTCTGTTTAATAACACTTTCTAGTAATTGGAATCATGTGATAAACTACAAAATCTGTCATGGAAATCACTACCTTAATAACAAACTCATAACATCCAACATGGTTTTTCTTTAAGAATGATATTTGAAAGTTAGCCTTTAGTAGGTTAATATTAAGATAAAGCGATAATGCTCTATTAAATTATCACTTCTGAGCGCTTACCTTGTGCCTGTTGCTGTAGTAAGCATTTGATTAGTTGCAAAGTCTTTTAATTCTTATTAACTTATTAACAACTCCTTTATCCCTGTTTCACAGATGAGAAAATTGATGCTAAGATGAAGTAGGCAGTAAATGATAAAGTCAGAACTCAATCTGATCCTATCTGTTCTGTACATGCCCATTCAGTTCTCTTAAATATCCTTAAGAGTTTTAGGTGATAAAAAATAGGACCCAAAAATTAACTGACATATTGAAAGTAATTAACATATTGAAGGCATATAATATTCCTTTAGTAACTCAGGAAGGTAATATATACGAGATAGGGTATTAATTTTTTTTAACCACATTTTGATTGGATGGCTATCTGTAGGGACCCCACATACAATACTGTTGAAATGCAGCTTAAATTCCAGTTATTCCTCTTGTTATTAAACTGGTAAGGAGATGTTTCTCTGTTAGTAGTTGTTCCAAGAGTTCACACCTTGGCTGGCTATCTACCATGTCGATCTTAATTACATAATAGAGGCAGGCAGGCAGGATGAAGCAATGTTTCATTATGTGGAATACTGAGTAATGAGCTAGAAAAACTATGTAGATCTCATTTTTAGATTGGTTCTTTTACTGTCCCTAAAAGAATGTAGGTTTTTTTTTTAGATGAGAGATACCATTTTCTATATTAAACTCCTTTTTATATAGCTCATTGGCATGGCGGAGAAGCAGATGGCTCTTAGTCAGAGCTGGTGTGAATGCTGGGTTTACTTTCTGAGCTTGCACAAGTTTCCTAGTCTCTCCAACCTCCAGCTTTCTCACCTTGAGACTGAGATCGTAATACCAATCTCACCAAACATAGTTAAAGGTGGTCTTCCCCTTTCCAACTCCCCCACCTTTTTCCATTCACCAGGCTGATTTTTATTGCAAGGGTATTTGACTTTCGTCATTCAGCTAAGAATATGTTATAGAAGATGTAATATCCTTCACGGCATTCCCTATCAGAAGTAACTGGTTCTGTGAGACTGAAATCATCTGAGAGTACGCCATATTGTCAGCTGGACAAACTCACAGGCTTGTGAATTATCATATTTCTGGAGTACCTAACATGTGCCAAACCATGGGGAGATAAGAAATATCTTTGCCTTTTCAGAATCCATGGTCTGGGAGAGGGTAGATAGGGCAGCTGTGAGCACAAAGGGCATGATATTGGCCTGTGGGGATGGAGCCCAATAGTCCACTGATCCCACCTTATTCCTGTTGTATCCGACTGTTTTCTAACTTGTAAAATAAGAGCAATTGTGACGTCATCCTCTGATAAGATACTAAAGCCTTTGGGAATGCTATCACATTTATCCAGCCATCCATCCCCGATTCAAGATGACTCATCATCATTATAATGCCACCCGCCTTGCAGAATTTGACAGCAGTTCTCTGACCAGGTGTGTGAAATGTCACATTGGGTGGGCAAATTGGCAAGAGTGAATGTTCCTCCTCTCTCCTGAAAGCCAAAGGCTTAGCCTTTGCTTCTAAAACTCTGTACCTGTCATGGGTTGATGGAAATGCCCTAAGCTCTGTCCACTTTGCTTTGTCACTCTTCCAGACCCATTCTTCCCCCGTGCTCTTGTTTCCTATTGTGAGGTGAATTGGTGTTCGTTATTCACTCAGTAATTAGTTCTTGTACATTTATGGTAGCAAAAGGGGTAAAACTGAGACATGGAGGCATCTAAGTGGGTCAGTAACTTGCCAGCCTTGGTACACTAACAATTTGGTGCCACTTGGAGTATTACTCCCTCAATACTTGCTCATGAGATTTCTGAGAATCTGAGTTCTACGTGAGAGAGAAGACGGTAGCCGAGGGACTACTCTAATGGGGGCTGCCGATTCCCAGGGTCTCAGATGAACAGAGGAAAAATAGCAGACTCCTTATTTGTTTCCCAACCATATTCTGTACTCTCCCTGAGAAATATTCTGGTAGATACTATTTTTCTTTAATCTCATTAAACTTCTAAAGATGTTTTAAACACCCCATTGTTGAATCATTATTTGGAAGCTGCTTTAATAGCCATGTTCTGAACCTAGCCCTAGAAAGAGGCAGTGTGCTTGATCCAGGGGATATAGATAAATAGGATGCAGCCTCAGTCCTCAAGTACCTCAAAGAGGCAGTAGCTTAAAATACACTGTGAAACCCTGTGAGAGAACTACTAGCAAAGTGTTGCAGGAACACAGATGGAAGAGCAATGGATTCAAGCTGTGGAGGGCAGGGTGTCTTATGGAGGTGATTCCTGGAGGTGACCTCAGGGTGGGACAGATGTGAACTGAAGTGTTCCTCTTTCAGGTCCATTGGCATTCATAGTTTGACTGTTTCAAATTGATGAAAATAGGATACACTGGTTTTACATACTTAAAGCCTTAAGTTTAGAGAACTGTACAAAGCAAATATTGTCATGATTTTAGCCATCTCTGACCTGTAAAATGAGACAAATGACTACACAAATTCGTGACTCCTTCTGAAAAATGGAAAGGAAACTTAAGGATTCTATTCAATCATTCCTAAAAGACAAGTTTTCCCAAATACAGAGCAAGTTACAGTTTCCCAATGTTTATTGCAGTTCTCTGCTTGAATACAGAAGGCTTTGTTTTGTCAGTCCCCACTATCTCTGCTAAGGAAATAAGAGCATCTCTTTCGGTTTTCAAAGTAAAAGCTTTGGGACCTTTTGTTTTACTATCTGAAAGCCGATTGTTCCCTATTGTTCCTTATCCACAGTCACTAGGGAGTATTCCCTAATACTCCTCTTTGGGGACATTGTGAATGCAGCTCTTATTTGAGAAAGAGAATGCTCCGTGTAGGCTGCCATCTCCAAATCACCCAGAATACATTTTTTTAGATTATCTTGGAGTCGCCTTCTAAGTGAAAATGTCTGTCACGTCAAGGATCTCTCTCTAGTTACTAGATCTCATTTTGCAGGTCAGATAGGGCAAGAATCACTCAGTCTTGCCACTAAGAAGAAAAATGTTTTTGAGGGGATAGTAATGCCAGTTTTATAATACTCATTAGCATAGCAAACTGGAGGGCCCCTGTGCCAGCAGCCTGGCTCAGCAGCTGGCTGTGTCGGAATTGCTGTGACAATCCAGTCCTGATTTTATCCTGCCTAATATTTATTCTATTCTCAGAAGCATTGCTATTTAGAATTTTCACAATTTCATCTCCAACTTGTACTTTTGTTTGCTGCTGGGGAGAAAAAAAGATGAAAACTTGTTTCCCATAGTTTCTAAAATTAGTTTGAAGGATTTGGTTTTAGCTTGGAGAAAGAAACGCAGCTACATTTTGTTGTTTTGATTTAACTTGACAGCAATGGCTTCACTTGACATGACAAGTTGTCATTATCAGAGAGCTTTCATTAAGTTCTACATTTATATCTTTTCAGCAAAATAGTCCTCTGGTTTAAGTAAATGTTAAGTAGAAAAGAGGAATGAAGCCACATGTACCCCAACTCAAAAATTACAAAAATAGATCATTTTTCAAGTATGTGCTTAGCAAAGATTTTTGATGATTATCTTACATTTGGAGGGGGTGCGACTCATATGTTGCTCATAGGAAAGAAAATTTGTGTAATTCCCTTCTTGGGAAACAATTTGATGCTGTCTGTAAGAGGCCTTGAAACTCATATTCTTTGACCTGTTATTCTCAGTTTTGGAGGTTTGTGCAAAGGAAAATCATTTGAAGCATACAGAGACGTTTACAGCACTCATCATAATAAAGAGGGTAAATTTAATATTTAGTAGGGAAATGATTTTGTAAACTATAATATGTTCATGTATGATATATGTAAATCTCATCAAAAATGCGATTTAAGGAAACTATGTCAAAGAAATGCTATGTTAAATAATCAGAGGTCAAAAGAGATCTCAATGCTGTACCATTGAATTTGACATACTTGTGTATAAATAGCAGCCAACGAAGAAAAATTAGAAACCAAAGGAACCAGAAGGGAGAAAACTATCCCAAATACTAAGCTCTTGTACCCCCATACTTCCCATATTATATCCTTTATAAAATGAGTGATGCCTCAGATATTATGCTTACTGCGCTCTTCATTAAAAGTTGAGTATGTTATGCCTTATGAATTGCTGTGGTGATGAAATTAAATGTGGGACTTGTGAACTGATCTGTTTCTCTCCCAGGTATGTGAAGACACAGTTTATGAATGGTTGATAGATGATCTGTTTAACAGTACACTTTTAAAAGTTATCTTTTACATGTTTCATAAAGTTATTATAGATGTTGGAAAGTTTAGGCCACCTAAGTGGGCAAATTGTCTTGCAGCCCTGTGATGCAAAAATATAACAATATATTTATGATTTCTCTTCAGGAAATTTTCAAATAGAAACTAATTTGCAGAGTTTCCAGTGGACCAACATTCACAGGGTAAGATTAACATTTTGAACTGTGAACATATGGCTGAGATAATTACTATTACATTGGTAGGTTGGGGCAAATAAATATTGAATATTTAGTACGTAAAAGAAATTATTATTCTTATAGACATTTTGAATGAAATCCTTTTGATGTTTTTAAACTAGTTAATAAGTCAAAAATTAAGTCTGTATACATGTCAGTAAAATGTCATCTTCCCGTCTTTTCTTAGTTTTACACATAGAAACTTTTGTTTGACAATTGTCATTTTCTTAACATTGAAGATCTAAAGAATATGATCAAAAGACTTAGATCCATGATCCTCTGTCTATGTTTTTCTGAGTTTTGCTAAGGTGGCATTTTTAATGTACAGAATCAGTCTGCGATCATCCCATAAATAAAAGATGACCATGCTTTCCTCGAATGCGTAAGTCAGAAATAAACAAGCCCCTATACCAGGTTGCTTCCTGAAAACATCATTCATCTTTTATAGTTGTGGAAGATTTGTCCTAAATTAGCTCTGTGGCAGAGCTTTTGACTTTGATACCATGAATGATTAATGTGTACACTATGTTAAGTAGCCTGACTCGCTAGTGTCATGAATATAATGAGTGTTTTAAAAGTGTGACACACATATAGTCTACGAGAAGGAGTGGATAGGACAGTGGGTCTGTCCCTTCTTTATCTTCAACACCCTTATAGATGAAGATGTTGATCCTTTGAATTCTTGATTATGCCCATGTATCCCTACTGATTCATTGAGTTGAATATGAATTTTTAAAAGCTAGAAACATAAGCTATTCCTCCACTTAAGACTCTTCAGTGACTTTTCCATAACTCCTGGACTACTTAATACCCAAACTCTCTGGGCTGCTGTTCCTCTTCACCTTTCTCCAGGCCCCTAACATTCCTGCAGGGTGGCTTCCTCTCTGATGCTCACATATCCTGAGCTTCGTATTTCCTGGCCTACCACAATCTTCCCTAATATTATCACCCAACTAACTCCATTTAGAGCTCTGTTCTAACACAGAAATGTTCTGGATGAGATTTGTGACTTAGGATACAAGACCTTTTTTATTTTATTAGTATTAATTATGCTAAGTGGCCAGAATCAATGCTACCAACTTCCCAGTTCTTTTTAAGTAGAAAACTAAGTCAGAACCCCACATGCTACTATCCTGGGACCACAGAGCAGCTCAGAACTTCAGTTTCCTTGCTTGTAAATAGTTAATCTCCTATCACTATAGTTTCTTACTGGATGAAATACTCCATATGATTTTGTGAAAGATCAAATTAGAAGAAGCAAATCAAATGATGATCTCTGCCATCAAGCAGTCTTGTAAGGAGAACATTCGTAATTCACAAAAGACAGTATGGGGACTGGGTTTGGCTGTGCTTTAGGGCTTCCTTACTGTGGGGTGATTTGAGGGGATCAGGAACACACTTTTATAAACAATGAAAATGCAGAGAAGGGTTTGAGGTCCCCCTTTTTAAAAAAGATTTATTTATCTATACAGAACTGGGGTATAAGCCAGAGGTGCAAGGGTGATTAGAGGATTCACCAGAGACAGAGTGGGGAGCAAAGCAGACCGATTGATGAAGTACACTGCGGGTGGGTCAGGAGAGGTCTGCTGCTCCATGTGGATCACCTCCCTGGCTGGGAATTGAACTTGTGTTAAAGTGGCTTTGCTTCTTAGTGCTGTTCTTCAACCCACTGCACCACCAGGGAGCCCCCCGCCTTTTTTTAAAATAAAGAAATACTTCATCAGTTCTCTAAGTCTACTTTTTTCCAGTAGTCAACTTATTTTGTTTATAGTATGCCTTCTGTATACACATTCCAAAAATTATGTAGCAAGTGGTAGTATGCATGTTGGTGTTAATATTGTAATATTGTGCCTGCCACATCTTTTATCTTGAATGTATTCTACATAATTTGGTAATAGTAAAAGTATCTAAGAACAGAAAGGTTTTTTCTTTTAAAAGATAATTACCATCTAAATTAAACACTTAATTCCAAAACCATCCCAAACTAGGGAAAGTGAAGCAATGTTTCTTAGCATTCAGAACAACTCAGATTTAATCAGGACTTTTAGAATTGCTCCTATGGTCTTAATTGTCATATTCAGTAACTTTCTCCTGGGGCTTCAGATGATTAGGGTAATTTTCCTAATATTTAGAATATTGTTGATGATTGTTAGCGGACCCATTACCGCTCTTCAGATTTGGATCAGAAACCACAGAGAAGTGCTTACATGTTGTTCTTTGGTTTCTCTGCTTTACTAGCTGTGGTATCAGGTGCCTTCTGGGAGCTCAGTGATTTCTGTGCTCTGAAAACACTGCTTCTCCTTCACCTCACTGACCCTGTTTCCCTGTGCTCCATATTCCTTCTTGTCTGATAGTCGTCCCTTTTTTATTGTATTACCTACAGGAGAGAGAATCTGTCCAAAGCAACCGAAATGGTGTGGGGTAAGGATGGACCTTCTAAGGATGGACCTTAAAAAGACATGTGGTTTCTGCTTTTGTGTGTTTGCAATGTTCCTTCTCAGCCACCTTGCTGTATGGAAGCTTGAGGAAGGGCAGGGACCCTGGACATTAGCCTATACTGAGTTTCCAGACAGCAGGCAGCCCAAGTGCCTGACTGAACTTTCCAGTCACCCCAGTTTCCAGCCAACATCATGTGAAACAACTGTCTCTTCCTCCCACAGAACCATGAGAAATGATGAATGGTGGTTTCAGTTGCCAAGTTTGGGGATGGTTTTTTACATAGCAATGAAGAAGCAAAGCAAAAAGCAGTACTTAGAAATGGGGGCTGCCATATCAAAACATCTGCAATTTACTTTGAGACCCCGGCGCAGTGATGGCCTGAAAGGAAGTAAGAAGACTTTTAAAGGTAGATGAAGAACCAGGAGGAAACTGCTATTGAAACATATATAGGGACAGAAGAATTGACAGAACTGACAGGTCTAGCTGTAACCTGTAAAATAGAACATGGGCCTAGTGGATTTGTGGATCTAGCTTAGGAGATTTTCCTGCAGAATCTTGTAGTGCCCACTAAACCTTTTTTAAAACCAGTTATGACCAAAGTATTGCAAAAAAAGAGATGAATTAAAGAAAGAACTGTTCAGATTTTAAGTAGACTTTAGAGAATGTACTTCCAACCCAGAATTTTCTAGGATTATAAATGATATGTTTCTATTTCGCAGCTCCACTGCGTAGCAAAAGTAAGAAATAGTCTCAGGTTGAAATATAAGATCCATAGCACCACTGCCAATAAAACCTGGTCTCAAGGAACAAATAAGTCAGGGCATAGCTGCGGGGTGCTGTCTGAAGGCTTCAAGAAGAGTAAAGCTGTCCCTCCTTGATGCTCTCCGCTGGCTAGAAGGGCGTCTAAGAATTTTATGGTGTTACCCCAGAGCTCCCTTTAGATTTAGATAAAATCCTGGACCTCAAGCCTCACCTTGAGGCCTTAGTGGGATGAAACTTTTGGGAGACTTAGGACAGGGTGAATGTGTTTTGCAGGTAGAAAGGAGATACATCATTTGTGGGCAAAGAATACTTGGATGAATTAAATGGCTGCACATTCTTTGTCATGATTCCCATTGAATGGCATTTCTTTAGTGTCCTCTTGAATCTGGGCTGGCTATGTGACTCCTGTGACTTATCGTGAGTTGCGGAGGTGACACTGTATGGGTTCAAGATGTGTACCATAAAGGAATCACAGCTTTCACCTGTGCTCAGAATTCACTGCCTTGCCATGTTATGTGAGGACAGACAAATAGCTACATATTTCAGACCTGCAGTGAGCACCAGCCACCAGCCTGATGAATGAGGACATTTTGGACTTGGCAGCCAGCCCTGTGGCAGCCATCTTGGTACCAGGCAACACCATGAACTAAAAGAACTACACACAGAATCACAAGAAATAAAGCCACACTGTTTTTATTTTAACCAATACAGTTTAGAATATGCAGAATAATTTGCCAAAACGCCTTCCCATCTCTATGCTGCTGAGTCCTTGCCTTCCCCAACGAAGACTCTATCACCTTAAATACTCCCTGTCATCTGAACAGATTTGCTCTGCCTGCTGTGTATTTTTACATTCAATTGTTTATTATGTGAATATTTATCATACACATGTACGGGGAAACTGTGGAAGATACTATAATGCCATAGAATCAAAATCTGAAGTATTTGACTCATGCTTTGCAATAGAACTTGTTCTCCAAATTTGCTAAGCAGTGTTGAATTCTCAGTTAGTGAAAATTCTCCTTTGCGAATGGATAGCAATATGATCCCTTTTGATTTCTGGCCGACATGATTGAAGTAGCCTTTTAACTGGCACCCTTGTTTTCAATCCCTCAAGTCCACCCTACAAATCTCTATAGTTCACACCCACTGTTCTACTCACTACTCACGGAGAAGACATAACTTATTTTTGCAGACTGTGAGGAGGGGCCTTCCCCCACTGAGGGAAACTTCCAAGAAGACTTGAAAGGTAGATGCTTTCCCCAGATATTGTATTGCCAATCTATCTTGTGAGCTGTCCCTTCCCGGGAGACAGGAATTCTGTTTCTTAGAACAATTGAAATTTTCTGTGAGTGAGACCTGGATTGAAGTTTCTTGTAAACTTAAGACAGTGAGAACAACTATCTTAGATTAACAATTTTTAAACAATTGTTTCTGCACCAACAGCATTGATAACAACTAAGAATCTGTTAGGAATGCACATTCTTTTTTCTTTTAACTTGAAAATGTCTTTATTTTTCCTCACACTTAATTGCTCAGTAAAGTGAGTCAGAAGGAAAAAGAAGAGCATTGGATGGTTTCATTTATAGGAGGGGTATAAAGAAACCAAATAAAAAGTCAAGAAAAAGACAAAAATTACAAGCTGATCATAGATATAAGGCATTCATGTTGCTGCAAATGGCATGAATTTGTCTTTTTTGGTTACTGAGTATGTTCCATCATGTAAATATCCTACAACTTAAAAATATATATATTACATCATCCTTCATTTTTGTACAATGTATGTTTTCCCTGTGAAATGTCCATCACCAATTTACCTGCACACCGTCACCATAGTCACTTTTGCTCTTCCCACGCCTCTCTTGATCCTTCCCTGTTCCTCCCCTACAAAATGCCTCTGATCTATAGTTGCCTGATGATTTCTATTTTTATTTTATTATAGTTACCTTTTTTCCCCCTGATTACTTATTTGGTTCTCTACATTCTTCCTATAAGTGAGATCATTTGATATTTTTCTCTTTCTTTCTGGCTTATCTCACTGAGCTCCATTCATGTTGCTGTGAGGGCATTAATGTATCCTTTTTGATATAGTCTGTTTACACAAGGAATATTACTAACAATGAAAATGGATATACCACAACTTTTTGATCCATTCATCTGTTTTGGAGCATTTGGATTATTTCCATATCTTGGCTTTTGTAAATAGTGCTACAATAAACATGAATGCAGGTTTATTTGTTGTTTTTTTTAAATTAGTGTTGCTGTGTTCTTTGGGTAGACTGAGTGGAACCACTGGATCATATGGTAGTCTCATTTTTGTGTTCTGGGGAACCTCCACAGAACTTTAGGAATGCATGTTCTTGGGACCTATCAGACCTAATGAGGTAAAAAATGAGTAAAGCCAATCACTGGTGTTTTAATAAGTTTTATTAACATTAACTGTTAGAGGAACATTTAACTAGAAAAATCTTAGTTTCTTTTTCAAGCCCTTTTGGACTTGTATCTGAAAGCGTCTCATATACAAATTACTTTTCAACCTTCAAAAGAACTCCAGCTACATATGGGGAGGGTGTTAAGTTATTTGAAGGTTACTCTATTGACAAAATCTGAGATCACTGGTCAGTCATAAACGGGCATGCCCGTCAACTCGTTTGTACTTGAGAAACACTAACTGGTTGTCATTAGATCTCTGAAGCATGGCTCAAGGGGATATTTAGTATAAAGAAAAGGAACAAATCAGTCAGGAATGATCCTGTCTTATTTCCCAGAATGAGAACTCAAAAAGAGAAATTTAAATTTCATTTAGATGCATGATAGACCCAAGAAATATCTTGATAAGGAGAATTACTAAACATTCGAAGGGATGTGAAGTGATTTTTAAATCAGTTTTCATTGCACGTATAGTAGAGAAACCCTATTTTGAATTGTTATATCCCTGCCTGGGGTCAGTGACAGAAATCTTTGAAGGCGCGCCCAGTTTTCAGAAGAGAGCATATAATGACTCCAAATACCATCTGATCGTCATTTGTTTATTTTTTCACTGGATATTTTGGAAATGCTTTCAAAGTAAACTTTAAAGGATTAATGGGAAGTAAAATGCCTAACTGGAGCATTGTTGTCACAATTTAAAGACCTTGGAATGAGATTGTCAAATGAATGCATATGCTTTGAAAAGTTTATATGATATTTTAAATGAGGTTTAAAAGCTAAAGAAATGGGATTAGGACCATTAAATCCTTTACGCTTAAATAATTTTTCTTTGAGCTGGTTTAGTGCACTTGTATCTTAAAAATAGAGATTGCATCCTCATTGTTTGCCAAAACATAATCTGGAAAAATTTCACCGATGCACAAATAATATTAAGTTTTGTAGTGACAAAGGACAGATATGCTCTAGCTCGCCAGTTAAATATTTCAATTAGAAAAATTAGAATCATGTAATATATAAGAATGCATGAGACTTTTCATACACCATTAAATCCAGATGCTATGCATAGTTATTTCAGTGAAAAATGTTCAGTAGAAAAATGTCTAGTTTAGAAAGAAGATTATATAATATGCAGCTAGACATATTGCAGAGAAGTGTACATTTGCATCCTTGTTTTTCCAAAGATTAGAATAGAAGCCAGCTAGAATGCAGATTTGGGGGTAACTTGAGGTCTTAGTCCTTTTAAGCTCCTCTGACAAACTGCTTCAGACTGGTTGACTTAACAAACAATTATTTATCAAAGTTCTTAGGGCCAGGAAGTCCAAGATCAGGGCATGTTCAGTGTCTGACAAGTTCCTTCCCTAGTCATGGACAATCATGTTATCACTCTGTCCTTGCATAACAGAAAGGACAACAGAACTCTAGGGGTGCATTTTATGAAGGCACTAAATTACATTCATGAAAGCTCTACCTTCATGACCTAATTGCCGCCCAAATATCTCACCTCCTAATACAATCACATTGTGAGCTAAGTTTCATAATATGTCTTGGGACACAAGCATTTATACCACTGCAGCTGGAGAAGAGAGTTAAATATTCTTCTTTTTCAAAGAACTGTGACTGGCATAGTTAATTGGATTGTTGAGACAGAGATGTGGGTATGAAGATCTAGTTATCATTATTTTTCTTGCCAGTTTTATCATCTTTAGACCAGGTAACTTCTTGAGCTTGCCTTATTTCCCATAATTATAAAATGTGAAATAAATAAAGAAACTGGAATAAGTAATAGCTTGTTGTAAAGAGGAAACAATATGCAAGTGGTTTGAAAGTAGGAAAGCTGATAATAGGTTTTTCATCATAATAGATTTTTAAAAAATAGTTTATTTTTACATCATTTTATGCATTTTTCCATCTCAATTGTAATCCTTGTGGCTTCCCATCACCGAATCACCCATTACCATAGTCCAGTGCATTTCCCTCCCCCCAATGTTTTTGATCCCATTCTCCACTCCCCGTTCCCCCCATAAAATGTCTCTAGTACATAGTTGTTCATTATTATTATTATTTTCTCACCTGGTCCGTTATACTCCTGCTATGAGTGAAACCATCCGGTATTTTTCCTTTTCTTTCTGGCTTATTTCACTAAGCATGATCTTTTCCAGCTCCATCCATGTTGCTGCAAAAGGCATAATAGATTTTTATTGCTGAAGAACACATTGAAGGAAACAGAAGTCAGGTGATTAGAAGAGAAGTTTCTAGCTTTAAAAGGCACACAGGAAATGTTCTTTATAAATAATTTTCTTTTTTTTTAAGATGTATATTTTTATGCATATAAGAACTGGGGTACTGGCCAGAGACACAGGGGTGAGAGGATTCACCAGAGTCAGAATGGGAGCAAAACAGGCAGATTAACTGAAATACACTGTTGAGGGGAGCATTGGGCGGGTCAGGAGAGGTCTGCTTTGTCATGTGGGTCACTTCCCTGGCAGGGGATTGAACTCATGCTGCAGTTGCTGCAGCTAGCCTCATAGTGCTTCGCTTTATTTTAACCCCTTGCACCACCAGGAAGGGCCCTACAAATAATTTGCAATTAGAAAAAATAATCTGTAGTTAATTGTGATTTTCTTACAGATTAGTTATAGTAGTTTTTCATAATTATTTTAAAATATTGCTATTTAGTTGGTGGATCATTATTCTCTTCTTTCATAGAAAACGTGCTTAAAGTAGAAAATATATTTGCAATATTTAAAAGAAACTGCATTGTATGAGAAGCATCATGTTATCTGAGTAACATTCTGGAGTTATGCAATAAGTTCTTTGCTGGCACATTTCAGGTGCAATGCAATGGAAGAATATATAAACTCTTACACATCAAATGTCTTTATCATACTTGCTGAACATAAAGGCAATTGTGTATCCTATATTGTAAATCTTTTAAACATGAATTGTAAATGAGAAACTCATACTCCAGGGGTGCTATGTAAATATGAATTAGTATACAGCTAAATTGGTAACACACTAGCTATGCTTTCTGGCCTGCAGAATAATCTGATATTGCATAGTAAGTATAAAACAAGCTTTACAGTTGGGTTGGTAAATCCCAAGTAAATTTTAGACATGCCCAACTTTTTTTATCTTTGAGAATGGCAAGGTCACAGCAATATTGCTACAAATATCTCAAATAGTTAAAGATTTGGGGCCAATTCTCTGCACTTGATTTTGAGTACTTAACAAAGGATGGTGTCTTCAGGGTAAATGTATAAGCCTGCCCAGCAACTTTTCAGAAATTATAGAGGCCATAAAAATACAATTTTCATATTCTTTTTTTAAAAAAATGTGTATGGTTTAGAATAGTTTTGCATTTCAAAGTGATTAATATATGTGTGATTTAAACTTAAATGACTGAAATTGGTGCTAAGAATGACTTATCAACTACAAAATAAGACAACAAATATAAAGGGGTATGTATATCTGGTAATACCCACATTGCTGATAATTTTAGCCATATTTTTAGCTCTACTTTAAAAAGATATGACCTTAGGATTATTGATAAAGAAATCAGTAATAAATTTTCAGAGCACTGTCTTATTCGGATTGCTATATGATTTTAAATTAGGGTGCTGGGGCTCCTGGTGGCACAGGGTTGTCATAGCTCTGTCACCTCTGTGGCCTGAGTTGGATCCCCAGAGAGGTTGCTTACCCACACGGCGCAGCAGACTTCTCCTGTTTCACCCACTGCTCCCCTCAGCAGTGTATTTCAGTAGATTTTACCTGTTCTGCTCCTGACCTTGTCTCTGGTGAATCCTCTCACTTCCTACACCTCTAGTCTAGACCCCAGTTCTTATATGCATAAATAAATAAAATAAATCTTACATAAGTAAATTAGGATGCAGACATTATGTGGCAAACAGGCCATCTGATAAATGCAAATAAGACCAACTACGTGTCAGTACTGAATGAGAGAAATTAACATATGTAGGCTGGAAAAAACTAAGTGTTAATCAAAGTGTTGTAGATACAGCATTTTAAATTATGTATAAGTTTCAGCAAATACTTTCATGTAATATAAGGGAATTCAGGGCTGTGTATGGAGAGAAATGTGGGTGAAGATATTTGTCACTATAGTGCCTTATGTAAAAAGTCAACTGACCTATGAAAATCAATTTGTCCTACCATATATTAAGGCCGTGAGGTTCTCTACAGACAGTGTCTCTAATCTTGTTTGTTTGTTTAGTTGTTTGGTTGCAATTATTACAAGATACCTATGCTTTCTCATAGAATGAAGACAAACACAGAGATGGTGTGTCTAAGAAATTTCAAAAGGTGTAGGCCTCCTGACTGAAGCACAGGCAACTCACTGGGTTCATTTTTTTTTACTATAGTAAGTATAAATATTTAAAGTACATTACCTTAGATAATGGCAGCTTGTATCATTTGTTAAGTAAATAGTCACTTTTTGTCAAATGTCCTTACCATCATTAGAGCGGTTTGTATTTGCATTTTCCTGCAATTCCAAGTGCATATCTTAAATGAATTCAATTCAAGACCATTGGATTGACCAAGTATAGAGCAGTCTGGTTCAGTCTCTGTTACAGGAAATTCCTTTACAATAGCCCTGATGAGAGGTCATCTTATTCCTAGACTCTGTCAGGGAGAAGAGGTTGAATTATTTCTGAGATCAGTTCAGTGGTGTCCCCCCACAAATTGAGTAAAATCGATCTTTCTAACCTGTTAACCCATCTCATCTGGCCTCTGAAGCAAATCCACTTGCTCTTACATCCAGCAGGTAGTCGTAAAAAAAAAAAATGGAAGTCCTTGGGCTCCCCTAGTCACCTTTTACCTCAGCTGCAGAGCATCAGTTACTACGTTCCTCTATAGCAAACACTTTGTAGACAGGCGGCTCCTGACCATTTTGCTGCCCACTTGTCTTTAGCCTTGACTGAGCATTGGGGTTTGGGGATGAGCTCATCAGGCAGGCAAAGAACTGTTGTCCCTTTAGCTGGGGGCATCTATTACTGTAGACACAGACTAGAGTCACATTTCTTTTAAGCATAATTGATTTATATCACCAAGGTATATTTAGCATGAATAGAGTACATAGCTATATTTGGCACAAGAGCTATCACATGATTGGCTTTAAATGTGCACATACATCCATTCAAACCCCCAAGTATTTTTCACATGTTCTACCTCTCCCCCTTCTGTCACATTTACAGTAATTTGGAGTCAAAGTCCAGTACTTTCTTCTTGTCTCAAAATCCTCTTGTTTTGGTTTTCATCTGGTCTTGACACACAATTATGGTTTAACTGCAGTGGGGTGAGCCAGAATGGGAGGAGTTGAGAGTTAGAAATAGACCCACTAAACCAGAGTCAAGGAGGGAAGCCCTGGAGAGTTATATAATCAAGTTGCTGGTCCTAAGAGGAAGCTGAATCCGTAAAACACAATCTGATGCCCAGAGAAGATGCAGCAGAAAGTAGCACTCCAGCCCAGCAGCTAAAATCAAGGGTCTTGGGCTTCCCTGACAAGTGGGGGGACAAGAGGGTTCAGGATCAGGTGGTTGAGGATAAGTTGAGACTGACCAGAACAAAAGAAAATTCAGCAGAACCTCTGTGATGGGATTCTAGGGTTCAAGGTAAGCTACCAGTCCCTAGAAATAGTAAGCACAAACAGGGTTTTCTTAGAGGTGCTACTAGTAAAGTATCTAGAGAGAGAAACTGAGACTCAGGGGAGATGATAAGAATTTAGACTCAAGTGAGTTTGAGTTGGAGCTGAACCACCAGCTGATTTTACACTTTTTTCTAACCTTATGTGTTCCTAAATCACAGTGTTTTCTTTTATCTACCTTACCCTTGAGTATCTCACAGGTGGTCTGAACATTTGACTTATATAAGACTGAACATTACCCAAATCATTTAATATGGAGCATTGTCTCTGTAGTATGACAGAGCAGAATCCACCTTGCTGTTTGAAGGCAAAACTAACCTAGTAATTAGGTCCTTAATCATTTGCCCTATTAGTTAATCTTGCCCTCAAAGTCTTGAAGTCTACACTGCCTCACAGTAGTGTTCCAGTTGTTTTCTCCTACGCCTTAAGCCTTTACTATTATTTGTCAACTTTTAAGTGTGCTAAGTTGGACGTGAACTTCCAACAAAGATGGATTTGAACACAAAATTGGTAGCTCCTGCTAATCCTAAGGAACAATTTTATAAAGCAGTGTTTGTTCAAAAGAGGGTTGAAGGCTGATACCTTTGACTATAAAAAACGCTCCATGCGTGGTGGCCGATACATCCTGCCCCGAATACTTTCACTAATCTGTTCTATCACCAACTAGGCTACCTCTGAAGGACTCCATAATGCAGAGTGGGGATGGCCTCAGAGTTCAGATTTGCCCCTTCCCTGCCTTGCTCCTGAACTGAATCCTGCTGGTGTAGAGGTATGAAGTCAGTGCTTCATTTGGAGCCTTACCTCAGCCGGGTTTCTTTTGTCTTCCTTTTCTAGTCTCTGTACTCTTCCAAAGGAAGTCATGATTACACTCACAGAGCTAAAATGCTTGGCAGATGCGCAGTCATCGTATCACATCCTAAAGCCGTGGTGGGACGTCTTCTGGTATTACCTGACCCTGATCATGCTGCTGGTGGCCGTCCTGGCCGGCGCGTTGCAGCTGACACAGAGCAGGGTTCTGTGCTGTCTTCCGTGCAAGGTGGAGTTCGACAATCACTGTGCCGTGCCTTGGGACATGCTGAAAGCCAGCGCTAACGCGTCCTCCGATGCGGGCTCACCACTTCCCCTCCCCCTCAGAATCCAGAACGACCTCCACCGCCAGCAGTACTCCTATATCGACGCCGTCTGCTATGAGAAACAGCTCCACTGGTTCGCCAAGTTTTTCCCCTACCTGGTGCTCTTGCACACACTCATCTTTGCGGCCTGCAGCAACTTTTGGCTCCACTACCCCAGTACCAGTTCCAGACTTGAGCATTTCGTGACCATCCTCCACAAGTGCTTCGATTCTCCATGGACCACCCGCGCTCTGTCAGAAACGGTGGCGGAGCAGTCCGTGCGACCCCTGACCCTCTCCAAGGCCAAGGTTTTGCTTTCCTCTTCCGGGTGTTCCGCCGATGTCGACTCCAACAAGCAGTCGCTGACCTACCCACAGCCTGGTTTGGAATCCGGTAGCATAGAAAGCCCAACTTCCAGTGTCTTGGACAAGAAGGAGGGCGAGCAGGCCAAGGCCATCTTCGAGAAGGTGAAAAGGTTCCGTCTGCACGTGGAGCAGAAGGACATCATTTACCGGCTCTATCTGAAGCAGATAATCGTCAAGGTCATTCTGTTTATCCTGATCATCACTTATGTTCCGTACTTTTTAACCTATATCACTCTTGAAATTGACTGTTCCGTGGACGTGCAAGCTTTCACAGGGTACAAACGCTACCAGTGTGTCTACTCCTTGGCAGAAATATTTAAGGTCCTGGCTTCATTTTACGTCATTTTAGTAATACTTTATGGTCTCACCTCCTCCTACAGTTTGTGGTGGATGCTGAGGAGTTCTCTGAAACAATATTCCTTTGAGGCGTTGAGAGAAAAAAGCAACTACAGTGATATCCCCGACGTCAAGAACGACTTCGCCTTCATCCTCCATCTGGCTGACCAGTACGACCCTCTCTATTCCAAACGCTTCTCTATATTCCTGTCGGAGGTCAGCGAGAACAAACTGAAACAGATCAACCTCAATAACGAGTGGACGGTGGAGAAACTGAAAAGTAAACTTGTGAAGAATTCCCAGGATAAAGTAGAACTGCATCTTTTTATGCTAAATGGTCTTCCAGACAATGTCTTTGAGCTGACTGAAATCGAAGTGCTGAGCCTGGAGCTTATCCCTGAGGTCAAGCTGCCCTCCTCGGTCTCCCAGCTCATCAACCTCAAGGAGCTTCACGTGTATCATTCGTCTTTGGTGATAGACCATCCCGCGCTGGCCTTCCTAGAGGAGAATTTAAAAATCCTCCGACTGAAATTTACTGAAATGGGGAAAATCCCACGCTGGGTCTTTCACCTGAAGAATCTCAAGGAGCTTTATCTTTCAGGTTTTGTTCTGCCTGAGCAGCTGAGTACCATGCAGCCAGAGGGCTTTCAGGACTTAAAAAACCTGAGGACCCTCTACTTGAAGAGCAGCCTCTCCCGGATCCCGCAGGTCATCACTGACCTCCTGCCATCCCTGCAGAAGCTGTCCCTCGATAACGAGGGAAGCAAACTGGTTGTGTTGAACAACTTGAAAAAGATGGTCAATCTGAAAAGCCTAGAGCTAATCAGCTGCGACCTAGAACGCATTCCACACTCCATCTTCAGCCTGAACAATTTGCATGAGTTAGACCTAAAGGAAAATAACCTTAAAACTGTCGAAGAAATTATTAGCTTTCAGCATCTCCAGAATCTTTCCTGCTTGAAGTTGTGGTACAATAACATCGCTTATATTCCTGCCCAGATTGGGGCTTTATCTAATCTAGAGCAGCTCTCTTTGGACCATAATAATCTTGAGAATCTGCCCCTGCAGCTTTTCCTATGCACCAAACTACATTATTTGGATTTAAGCTATAACCATCTGACCTTCATTCCAGAAGAAATCCAGTATCTGAGTAATTTGCAGTACTTTGCTGTGACCAACAACAATGTAAGTAAATCCACTCCTTCCTCTATTCGGCCAGTCTTTGCACATTTAATGCCCCAAGTACGTAATGTACATAAAGAAAAAGGTCCCTCAGCCCACTAAGTGAGCACTGAACCCGACCTGACTACCACTTATTAGACGTGGGGCCCCACACACATCACCAGAACAACACCAGGCATCAGTTTTTGACCTAAGTTACAAGTTGTCATGGAGATTTTATGAAAAAATGCATAAGTATTTGGCACAGTTCCTGGTATACAGTAGTTGCTCAACAACATTCTCTTTAGCCCCTTTCCCCATTATTTACACAAATTTCACTGTTAACGTATTTAAAGTAATAGGTTATGACAGAGTTTACTTCCCATTTTGGAAAGGTCTTACATACTTACAAAGTTTCATAAAACTTTGCAGCTTTCCAGATTTGTCACAGGAGAACTTTCTGTTAAAAATGCTGGGTTCATGAATTATTCATAAACTTTTTGTGATGCAGTAAGAAAGACTTGAAATGTACATGCATCTCTAAACAGGCAATTCAAAATGAAAGGGCTGGTTCTATAATGCAACAGTAGAGCTTCTGAGAAGCTTTTGCCAGCATCCATGCTTAAAAAGTGAACCATAATTTGCAACAATAAGGCCAAGTTAAGGGAAACTTAACTTCACTGAAACAAGGAAAAACAGAATAAATGAGTAGGTTCCTCGGTTACAATGTGAAGGAAGAAAAAAAAGAAAACTTTCATGCTAGACTAAAAGCACAAGAGAGTGGTGGGAATGTCCATGTGGGAAGAATGGAAACGGCCTGTCAGGAATCAGGTTTGCCAAAAGATGAAACTGATCTTCTCTATTTGAAAATGGGAACTCTTTTCTTCTACCACACCCCAAAATGTTTCACTCCTAGATTTTTTTTTTTTTTTTGTATTTCATATTTCATGCTAAATATAGCGACGAGCATGGTGTTGGCTAACAAACACATTATTCATGAAACGTTAATTTTCAAAAACCATGAGTTGTTGGAAAAGCGCAAGTGAAGTTGGGGAAGGAGAGAAAATTCATGCTGATTTTTAGGACTCTCAGACTTCACTCACATGGAAAAGAAGAACATCCATTGTGACATGAATGAGAAAGCCTCAGATTATATAGGAGTCCCAGATTCTAAAACCCTGGAGAATCGACCTAGGTTAGCAATGTGCATCAGGGCTTGTTAAAAAGACTGCTAAGCCCCACTGCCAGGTTTCTGATTGAGTAGGTCTGATGAAGGACCCTAGAGTTTGCTCTTTCAAAAAGGTCTAGGTGAGGAAAAAAGTGCCAGGTGAAGCTGATGCTTCTGGTCTGTGACCACACTCGAGGTTCTTCCTTAGTGACAATTATGCAGCCATTTAATATTCAGATTTTCATTTTACTTGCATTGTTAAATCTGTGTATGTATGAAGTACACACACTTATTTTAAAATACATTCATTCTACTATGTTGTAGTAAAAGCTAACAAGTACATGAATTTTTTAAAGTGGCAGCTGACTAAATGAATTTTTTAAAGTGTTAGCTGGCCATGAATTATTTTAATGAGTGGGCAAGTTAATATTTTCCCTCACGTCAGAGGAATAAGGTCACTGGTAATTCTCACCTCATTTACTGACCTCTTGACCATGTCTGTGAAAGAGACTAGGTGAAGACACATGTTACCTTCAATAAGTGAGGCTATTTGGCAATGCATGGGAAGTCTTATGTGGAAGGTGCCCTCTGGCCAAAGCAGATGCTCTCTTCAGCGGGGTTGTCTCAGAGCTCTGCTAACTAGCAGTCACTGAGCCGAACCTGGAGGTCTGAATGGATGAGTTCTATTGACCAGAGAGATGGAAAGTTCCTCTCCGATGGGCAGATGGGAGGAAAGGAAAAGCCAGTAGTCTAGCATGTTGGTCTTTAAATATTTGAAGGACTTATGGGGAATAACTATATACATGCAAGCTAGGTAAAGCGGGCGAATATTTCTTGTCTTTCCCAAAATGTTGTCCAAAGACTGAATGAGCACTGAGAAAAGAGATGCATATTCTTACTATTGGAATTGTATATAGTGGCCCTCCCTGAAGGCGCAATGTGTTAAAGCTCAGTACTGCAAGTGAGCCCCCACCCCAGAGGTGACCCACATGGTGCAGCAGACCTCTCCTAACACGCCTGCTGCTCCCCTCAGCAATGTGCTTCGTCAGTCTGCCTGTTATGTTCCCCACTCTGTCTCTGGTGAACCTTCTCACCGCCTTTGCACGTCTTGCCTGCACCCCAGTTCTGTATGCATAAATAAATGAATCTGTCAAAAAAGAAAAAGAAATTATAGATAGACATACATCGTCAGCTTCAATAGATATCTAGTTAAAGAGAATCTGGCAATCCTGTTTCAAATAGGGATTACATATTAGTATAGCTGATTTCAAGGTTCCTTCTCACCTTGAGAGTCTCATGAATTCTATGAGGTAGACCAAATTACTTGTGTAAATTAGGAAATAAAACATCAAATTGGATGCATAAATATTTCACATGCATATACTCAGAAACTTGAGTGTATTTGTCCATATGAAAAGGAGTTTAGCAAAGATTCCTGAGGGAAGAGGTCTTACAGACTCTCCTAAGATTAAGACTCTCCTAAGTAATGCATCCAATTTGTCAATGAAGGCAAGAAATATGTACTCTGTGTATAAGTATAAAGTACATAGATTGAAAGGATGTTGTGTATTTCTATAGCATCAAAGACTATAGAATCACACTTTGGAACAATTAAGCTCAAATAAGCAGCAATAAAGACCACAGCCTAAATCATGGCACAAAAACAAAATGGTAAAGACACCTGGGAATTGGTGACTCTACTTCTGCTCCTGCAGCCCTTAATCTCCCCCAAAATAAGCTCTTCATGGTTTCTGCTTCTTTGTGCCTGGTTCTGGCCCCAACTAAAATCCAACTCTGAGCACACACTTGGCAGAGCGTATGAGTGCCCGCACGCTAGCTCGGAGTGAGCTGGGGACTCATGAACATGCTGTAGTCAGTTCTTCTACTGGGAAGCAGCTCAGCTGTCTTCTAGCATCACCAAGGTAAGTTATGGAGTTCTCCAGACATTGGAGATGCTGGTGAGTCTCCCAAGGGATATTTATTTATTGCCAGGGCACTTCAGAGTTTTTCCCACTGCAGAGTAATAGGTATTATCATAAAAAACATTCAACATTATTTTTTTAATTTTTAAAAATATATTCATTACGTCATCCTTCATTTTTGTGCAACATATGATTTCCCCATTAAATTCCCACCACCAGTTCTCCTGTGCACCAACACCATAGTCCCTTGTGTTCTTCCCACTCCTGTCCTGCTCCTTCTCCTTCCTCCTCCCCTATGGAATGTCTCTGATCTATAGTTGCCTGATGATTTCATTCAACATGTTTTATTCATGTTTGCTGCAGGATTTCTCAGAGGTTTTTTAGTGTATAAACATACATTATGCTTCATCAAGAGAGACAAGCACTATACAACATTTACCAAAGGTATTGGAGAAAGATTCTCTTGTTCATTGTAACTCTTGAAGGGACTGTTACAGAGGGCATACCTTGAGAACATTAGATTGGGGAAAGGTAAAAAGATAGTGGTCATGTACAACAGGCCTGCCCAGACAGAGTAAGAGATGAGCGTTCAGCAAGATGGTTCAGAATGGAGAGTGCCTTGAAGTCTGCCAGTCAAGTTCATGTTTGATTCACTGTTTAGTGACTGTGGTAATGCTACAGGGCACCCCAGTGTGAACTGGGCTGCCTGTCTGTGGGTCCTCACCCATGCACCTAAAATTTAGTTGTACTGCAGGCACACACAGAAGGGTCAATAATGGGTTTATTTACAAAAGGGGAAAAAGGAAAAGGGACAACACAGAGAAAGAGAGAGACATACAAGGTAACTAGAATATCTTACCTGCTCGGCTGACTTGGAGCTCTAATAACAAACTAACTGATAGCCCCAGTCACAAGGTCCCAAGAGCCGTTGCCCGAGTGAGAGAGTGCCGTTGGAAAATGGCGCCCTATTTATCCCCCAAAGTCCCAGAATACCTGCTTAGCTCCACTCTTGGGTCCTCACAGTTCTCTCCCTGGTACTGCTGGGAGTTGTAGTTTCCAGTCACTGGAGCAGGGGGTTAGAGTCCAGAAAGCTGAAGTAGGGTGTGGAGTCCACAAAACTCTGTAGAGTTCCTTTAGGAAATCCTTCCCCTTAATAAGACTGGAGCTTGAAAGGGCTATGTAGAATTATAAAAACCAAGAGTAAGAGAAAAGACAGATAAAACAAGAGACAAAGTCTCATATATCTGAAAGGAACAGTATGATCATCTCATCCACAGTCAAATGACTACAGCCTGGCAGCCAACTCTACCCACAGCCTGAGCTAAGAATGTTTTTTAGTTTTTAAGTGGCTGGGAAAAAAATCAAAAGAAGAATAATATTTTTTGACACATGAAAATGATATGAAATTCAAATTTCAGTGTCCATGAATACATTCCATTGTTCTTATTAATGTGCCTTTATTAAAAAATATTGCACTTGATGGTTGGTGTTATGTTTTGAACCTCATCCATTGAGCACATTTTTCCTTCTGTATATAAGTACCTATATAATATTTTTAGTTTTGCTCTTTAGCCCACAAAGTCTAACCTATTTACTATCCTAGTGCTTCAGAGAAAAACTTTGCAAACCTCTGTTCTCCTTTTAGTGATGATAAAACTTGAGACAGGATTTGCCTGTGGTCTGACCCTACCTGGAAGATGGCCCTTCCTTAGTGCTCGTTCAGATGATGCATCCATCCTGATGTTTCATGGGGGATGTGGTGGAGAGAGCACCTTCCATCATACCTAGCCCAGCGGCTAGGATTGGATTATAGATTGTAAGGAATGTGCTGGAAAAGTGCAAGCTAATAGGAGGACTTAATGGCTCCACTCAAATCATAAAAATCACTCTAATTTGTACCTACTTTGACATTTGTATACTTAGCACATTTGTTTAACTCAAAGACTTTCAGCCAGAGCTGAGTGACAGAGAAATTTCTTAAGATCGTTTGTGTGGTTGGAACTTGGTGTGGTTTATGGGCAAGCTGTTCACTGCATACTGTGCTGCTAGCTTCACCTGGGACGTCTCACTACTAAGAAATGGAAATATTCAGTTTGTTTCCTGGAAATGGTTTTTTGAAGCTGGTCTTGAAATAGCATGTTCTGCCCTGTACCCCTCCCCACGAAGAGAAAAGAAAACCTAACATTGTGGATGTCCTGGGGTCCCAGCTGCCCAGGGGGCAGTGTGAATGTAGTTATCAAATCAGCCCCACAGAGAGGGAGACCCATCTTTCCTTGGATGTTCTGGGGGCTTCAGTCCATTTTGCTGCAGACATTTAGTAGCTAAAGAGTTCTAATATAGAGAGTGATAATGTAGCAATTAGAGGTTTTTTTCAATATCATTTATTACTTTCTAAGGTATTAGTTTTGTGTGTTTTTAATTTATCCTATAAGGCCTTCCTGAAGTTTATCACTTTCTGGATAGTCTATCAACATTTCTTTTGACCTTTGAGGAGAAATCAATGGTTGACTAAGTTAACCTTTTTCCATTCTGGTCTATATATTGCACAGTCTAAGAAAGTCCCTGCTGGGTGAATTCAGTGTAAATAAATGCAACCTGTACATTTTATAGAATGTATTGGCCCAGGCAAAATGCATGTGGTGTTCTTATAAGCTTTGAGACTATTTTTAAATGTGTAGATAGCTTTTTCAGGACAAAATTGCTGAGTTGAAAGAACGTCTCAAGTCTCCAGCCGCCTCCTTTAGCAAAATTGAATCTGCGTGTGTGGATTACGGTCTCTTAAATGCTGAAAAATCTCTAAAATCATAAATCCAGATATTTGAAAGAATTAGAGGAGAGTGAGGGCAGTGGCTTCTATGTGCTCCCTGTGGTCTGTCAGTCCAGCTGAGCCAGATATCTGCTGGGCATCAGGAGTTGACTGAAGAGGGGGAACATGGATCCCCCCAGCCGCAGCCCTGCTTGGGGTACTCGTGTTAGAACACTCATTGCAGACTAGTGATTTAGTCATTGTTTGATATTCCTCTCTCCCATCAGATCAGGGCTTCATAATTGGGGGTGACTTTGTCCCGTTAGGAGACATTTTGTAGGGAGGCATTTTGCTTATTAGTTCTGAGGACGGCACTAGCATCTAGTGGGGAGATGTAGGATGCTGAACATCCTATAATGGGCACGACTGTTACTCCAAAAAGAATTACCCTACCTGGAATGTCACAGAGCCAAGGTCAAGCATCACTGTTAGACTAAGGTGCTCAGAGTCCCATCTGTCTTGCTTGGCACTTTCTCCTAGCTCCTCACTCCAAGCCTGGCCCATCAGAAAGCTCTTGATACAAGTTGACTGGCCACACATGAGCCAAGCCTTCCCCCTTTGCAGTGGGTGGCTCCTGCTCTCAGCCTGTTCACCCTGAACCCCTCACTCAGCACCAATGATTGTTTTCTGCACTTAGAGGTCACATTTCTGCTTCTGAGGCGCAGATGGCTCTTTAGAAGAGGTTACGTTCTTCTGTCATTACTCTCTCTCTATTGAAATCCACAAATCTTTGTTTTGACATCTGCATTCTTGAGAAGGGAAGGAAATAAACAGGAGAACATTTTTCTCTTTGCTTATACCTAGTATTTTGGGGCACCCAAAATATACTGAATGTCAGCCTGAGCCACAGTGATTGTTAGATTTATTTCCAGGTCTACCCAGTACTGAATGTATGCATGGGCGATGAGGAAGGGGTGTTTCCAACATAATGAGCATTTTGCGGTACCATTGACTATATTTCTGTTGGTATAGAGAATGTGATTTCATTTTTTATTTTCTTACATCATTGCTCATTTTTGTACATTTTGAAATCATTTTGATTTCTCCCCCGAGATGCAATTCTCCACCATTGCACCTGTGATCCATCACCACTGTCCCCTGTGCTCTTCCCTCACCTGTTTGACTCCTCTCCCTCCCCCTGCACTTCTGGATGCCTCCATCTATGTCAGCTTGCAGGTTTTGTCTTTCTCCTGAACCTTTGTTCGGTTTCCCTATATTCCTCCTATAATTGAATGCATAGAGAATACCTGGAGAGTTGGAGTTTGAGAGTTCTGGGGTGCTCTGGAAGCTGTAGCTGAGAGCTGGTTCAGTGCTCAGTGGGGCACTGAATGCCAGCCCAGCAGAGCAGGCCCACCCACAGTCTCCCTTTTTCATTTCTATTCTGTCAGATACTTCCTGAACCAAGGAGCTTGTGTGGTTTCATAGTTGAAGAGATCCCCCACCCCAGACCTGTGTGATATAGGGGGCAGGTGTGCAGACCTGCTCTGCCTGGCCAAGCTCACTCCTGAGTGGAGTGAGGACATTGAGCTTGCTCAGATTTCTCTGCAAGGCTTCTCAGTCAGCTCCCTATCTTGTATCCACCATGGCTCCCTTAGACTTCACGTGCACCCCACCCACCACAGGGGAGCAGTGCAGTTGAGCAGCTCTAGGAGTTGGCCTCTTGAGGCTTCTTTATATTGGAAATTATTTCCCGGTGTGATGTGATTGAAATGCAGCTGCTAGAGAACAGGGAGAAGGGCCCATACTCGTGGGTGTGCCACAGAGGGCAGTGACGTGTGCTCGCCTGTGTCAGCTCATCTTCCGGTCTCTGCTCCAGTCAGCTTATTTTTTTAGCAAAATATTGTTTTCAGTCTGTACGGTAAGACACTAAGAAATAGCCTGTGTCTGTTCCCAGGATGTTTTTGAGGATGTTGCTAATTACATTACACAGTGAAGTCTTTGAGGACTCTCGAGAACAATTTATATCTGAACTAGGACTCAAGAATAATTATGATTCTCCTGAGTTACTGCTTTGTTTTTATCTTAGGAACAATGAGCATGTAACTGGTTAGGTTTTCTTTGTTTGTTAGGATGTTTACAGTCCAATGTGTTGCCCTTGATATATATATATATATATATAGCAAGGATGTAGAAGTTCCTGGAGTCTCAGTCCTCATTCCTGGTCAAGTTGTTCTTATTTTGCCTTTACCTTTTCCGTCTTCTGCAAATTTCTGTTCATGGTTATGTGTATCTCTGTAAGCCTTCAAAAATGTTGGGAAAATCTATTCTTGGCACACAGAAAATGTGTTCTTAGCACAGGTCATCACAAACCTATTTTACAGGCTTCATTTTTTCCCTTTCCAGATTGAGATGCTTCCAGAAGGGCTGTTTCAGTGCAAAAAGCTGCAGTGTTTACTTTTGGGGAAAAATAGCCTGACGAGTTTGTCCCCTCACGTGGGTGAGCTGTCAAATCTCACTCATCTGGAGCTCATTGGTAATTACCTGGAAACACTTCCTCCTGAACTTGAAGGATGTCAGTCCCTAAAACGGAGCTGCCTGGTTGTCGAAGAGAATTTGCTCAATACACTTCCTCTCCCTGTAACAGAACGTCTGCAGACATGCTTAGACAAATGTTGACTTAAACAGAAAACAATTTGTAAATGTATGCTCCAGAGCTTTAATTGAGAATTAAGATTTCCCAGGTTATAAAATGGTGAAAAATGGGTAATAATTATGACTACTCATAACCAAATGTCTTATGAAAGCAACTCAGTGTCTAACCCTAAATTAAACAGGTGAAAAGTGTTAACAGTGAACTAAAGTTTTATGCATAACTGATTTTTAATGAATTGAAATGTAAGAATTACACTTCAAGAGTATAATGAGGGGCATGGAATTATTAATGTCTACCTTGTAGTTTAAAGATTATATAGATGTTTTCCCCTTCCCTCCGCCATCCCCAATAGTGATTTGCACACTTGATTTAACTGACTTCCTGTTTTGATATTTATCATCCAGACCATAAACTCATCATGTAAATTTCCTTGATGTATGCTCAGCACTGTCTTTGATTTATGCTCTTAGATATTTTTAGTCAGGATGCATTGTGCTTGGCAGAATTCCTTCTTGGCTGAATTTTTACTTCCTTTCCTAGTTTGTTCAAGTCTTCCTTAATCTGGTTTTCTCTTAACAACTATGATGAGCCCTGAGAAAGTGCCTGCCTTTGACCTTTGCGTAGACAGAAGCAGGACACATAGGACATGTCTTCCTTAGGGCTTCCTGAAAATGAGTGAATTTACTTAAGTACCTTCTTGTGTCTCATCAAAGTCTTTTTATTTGCAAATTTTATATTAAATGTAAAATACATGAGTATTTTCTATTATATAATCTTGGATTCAAAAATCTGTGAGAATTTTTATAAGGTACAGAGGACACATTTCTTTAAGAATTTACTTAGTTTGGGTTTTTTATGATTCTCCTCTCTGTGTGCTTTCTCCAAAATGCTTCATATTCTGCCACTAATTACTTATGAATAACAAAAGCCTTGTGTTTCAGCCCTTAAATGTTTGGGGGTTTCCTTAGGAGAGGATGGCCAAGTCACTTAACTTCTCTCTTTCCTGGTTGCTGTGCTATTGCACTGGTAAAATTCTTAATTACTTCAAAAAATGTGATCGAGAGGAGAGGTACAAATTTGAATCTTTAAAATTTATTTTGAAAAACTTTGTAGAAATTCACTTAGAGTTCAAGCCTATCTGCATGATCTCCAGATGTGATTGTAATATAAAACACTCAGCCTCCATCCAGTGCTTAAGATGTGTTCTCCAAGCACACAAAGAAATAGATCCATCTAACTGAAATTCATCTCATGCCATTGTCTAACTTTGCTGAAATCATTTTGCTCTGTTTTTATGAAGAGTTTTGGGTTTGGCCTTTTATTATCATGCATATTGTAGAATGAATAAAATTGACTGACTCATTTTTGGGAAATGTACATTTTTAATGTGTTTTTCTCTAATGGGTCTAGGCAATATGATGCCATCTCATTTTGGATGTAACTATCAAGTGATCTATTACCTACACCTAGGCAAACTGGAAAACACTATGGATATTGTGATGTGTGCTCTGTCTTTTCTTGCTTTGTCACTCCAGAAAGACAAAATTGAGTCTTCAAATTATAGCAAATGTATTTTCCTCACCTCCTTGTACTAAAACTCAGAGAAAAGAATTGCTCATGGCAAATGAAATTTGAATTATATTAGGTACAAATATATAAAATACCAAAAACTTCCTAACACATTATGGTTGGTTCCGAATGAGAAGGACCAGTATAAAACTGTAATTCTTACCTAAACTTGCCTTTAGTCAGAACTTTCAAGTTCTCAGGGATCCAGGTATATTTCATGAAACTTTCTTCTAAGACTTGAGAAAACAGATTCTGACTATCTGCAGGGATTTGGAATTGTACCTTTTTGTGTGAGTCATCATTTTAGCATTTCCCACTAGAACTAGAACCATCCTGTGCACTCATTCTGGAAACATGAATATAATATGTGAAGAGGTGTATAAGTGTCTTGACCACATAATTAGCCATAATTTTGTATTAAATATTCAAGCCTCTTCCATAAAGGAGCGTTTTCAAGGCAAATTTCAGGTTTGTGACCAGCTCCCCACCAAAAGAACTTCTCTATGGATAGTCACAGCTTCCATCACCTGTTGAAATGATTGGCTAAATCTTCCTTATCACCTCTACAAATTTCTGAAAACAGCTTACAATCAGGATCAACCATGAACATTGCAAACTGCTTTCGTATCTGGATATTTCCTATTGCAAAGAATTGTTCTCGTTGTCATTGTTTCTAGATTTTCCTTATTTCAGTCTGACACACCAGTGTTTAGGTAGCTTTTGAAATAGTGTCGCACTGACTCAGCCAACTCAGAGACCACCACCTGCTGCACACAATGTGGTGTGGATGCCACCTGTTTTGTTAGAGCAGATCTTTATTTGGCAAAGTTTCATATTCATTTAGGGGGTTTGAAATGAAGAAAATAAAGCTTGTATAGCTACAATTCTGTGACTAGTTGGCATTTCATTTTCAAGAATATGTAGCTCATTTTTCAAAAAAATATAGCTGTTATTTGAAACAAAGTTGATAGCTTGTGTTAGCGATGGCATTAGTTCATTTGATTTACATGCACACACAGAAACACACCCTTCTATGCAAAATGATACTAGTTTTCAAGCTCCTTATTTTCCAAAGTTGCCATAGGTTGTAGGCGAATGCTAATGTGTTTTTTTTATGTTCATTACTTCTGTTGTCTTAGGGTTCCGTTCTTTTACTTATAATATTTAAAAGAAATCTGAGTGCTCAATCTCAGCTTGAGAACCTGAGTGGTTTTGAGCATTTCTGGTAAGGGGTAGTGTTCCTTCCCCTAGCTTATGTCAGGTGGATCTAGGTATGCTTACATACCATGTCTCCATTCTCAGTTTTAATTTCCTTCCCTGGTGTCACCAGATTTTACTGTCACCTAACCAACAATTGTGTTAAACAGGGTATCCAGAGGTTCTCATCTCTCAGCACTGGAGCATAGGTCTGAAGTGTGCTCTGGTGAGCTTGAGAGACTTATTTGCATAACATCATTGTGCGAGACTGAAAATGTGTGTTTCTGTTCTTCAGGTGTCTCATGATGCAAATTTTGTATATTTAATTAAATAGTATATGATATTGATGGTCTCAGAAACTATTAAAATAATCAAACAATTATTCTATGGATTTATAGCTTTATTTCCTTGTATGTTTTTGATAAAAGTGTTCTTTTTCATCTGTCCATTCTTAGTATCACCCAGCCCACATAAGGTGTTTTGTTTTTCCTCTCCCTTCACCCGTATCCTTAAATTTGATCAGCAAGGGTATAGTAACAGAATATACTTGTGCTAGAGAATGTGCAGTGATATTTGAGCTTGGATGGCAAGGAGTGGGGTGCAAAGTTAGACCCTGTTATTGAATACTTATATTTTACCCATCCCTACAGTATTTTGAACTGATCAGTGATTCCTCTTCCTCATCAAGCATGCAAATTTAACTAAATCCATTTTGTTTTCAGTAACTGTACACTACATCAGAATCTCTGTGTATTTCTTCCTGGAAACAACAGAAAGGCTGATGGGAGAGGGGAGGAATTATTTTGCATCCTGGTTTGTATTATGAAGCCATTATATACATGAAATGATATAAAATAATAGCTGTTGCAAAATACTCTGGATCTAACTATTTCTTCTGCTGGATATGAAAGCTGAAGCAGTGACATCACTGCAGTCTTAATTTAATTGTTTCTTTCTGTTTCTGGTCTATAACTTGCATCCACTGGAAACTGTCTACTAAGTACCTTCGGTAATGGACTACATTGTCTTCAACTTTTTTATTTTTATATGAAACAATTTCACAACACTAAAGCATTAACATAGACGAGCCAAAGTACTGAGATGAGATGACTTCCAGTTGAACTTATAACTCATATTTAAGTTTTGCATTTGACCTGTATAATACACTACTGCTGAGAAAAACAATATGAATGCCTTCTGCATGTTATATATTATCTCTAACAGAGATGGTGTCATTTTAAAAATACAAAGGGGCATAGAGTCAGAATAGATGTGTTTGTGCATATACGTGTTGTGTATAAACCTAAATATTTGTTTAAATATTTTTAAAACTCTTCCAAGTTTTACTCTCAGTGAAATAATGGGCCAATTTTAAGTGGAGACATTTTCTTTTGTTAGTTTCACAGTAAAGGTTAGAACCTGTTATTTTATCTTTGTCACCAACATTGAACCATGTACATAATCTTTTTGTTTCTGGTAACTAATGCTTAGAAAAGATAAGATTCGTTGTGAGTTTCATGTTTTGGGCCCTCAGGTTTACCATGTAAATCTGTTTTTTGGTGGTAAATCCCTTTGCCTGAGATTCAGTAGTTTTTGGTAAGCTTTACTGTTTTTAAAGTATCTTTTATGTAAAATAAGAATTCAATTTTTATAATAAATGGAAAATAAAAACAGATTAAATGTCAAAACAAGTTGACTGTACTAATTTTTTTTACCTGTGTTCACTTCTCAGTGGCCAATTTCCAAAAGTGGTTACCCACATATTGCATTGTGATATTATTCACCAAATAATAGATTTTAAATTTACATGTGAATCTCATAGTAGCATATGAGTTTTCGAAACGGGTTATACTGCTCCCCAAATAACAAGTCCCTTGAAATTGGGATTAGTCCTTGACTACAGTGTGGTCCGGAACATGGGGTGTGGAGGAGGCGGGCTTGTCATTCTCCTAACTAGCCCCTCTCTTCACCAGTGTTCTGCCGGGAGATAAGCAGATTAGTTCATCTAGGCTCCCATGTCCCCATTTATTGTGAGGTTGTCACTAATGCTGAATAGCGGGTCAGATAAATGAAGGCTTAATAGAGAAAATTTGAACTGCTGGGTAAAATATGCACATGCATCTTGACCGCTGGACAGAAGACTTTCTTTAGTGTCTCATTCACACACACGCACTAACACAGTTTCAGGAACACTTCAGTAAACGCTTACCCTTAACTGAGCAGAAGGACAGAACTTGACAGACACTGAACCCAACTATGAAGGAGAGCCAGATGGCCACATTGCTCCCTGGAAATGCAGTTCTTCAGGAAATGCTCTTACCACCTCTAAATGCATTAGGAATGGAAAATATATTTCAAAATGGAGCTAGAATTTGACTTACGACCACAGATGCTGTTCAGGGACTGCTAGGTTCTTGGGAAGATTGGGATCCTGTCTAGCAGACTGCAGGGCAGCAACATGCCCTGACTTGATCAAAAACTTGGTGTAGAGTCTGACCTTGGAATGGAGAGCTGCTGTTGACCGTGCTGTTCGATTCTTTAAAGCTCTGAAGCTCTGGCGTTATTTGAGTTTCTGCTCCCTCTGCATTCTCTGTGCCCCTTTGCATTCTCTGTCTCCCTGATCTCTGTTGTCTAGAGAAAAGCAGTTTATCCAAGAGGCACAAAGCCATACCTCAAAGTCTGTATTTATAGCACAACATGTGTCCACATGCCAAGGAAGGATCAGAAAGTCATTTCAAAAAAAAAAAAAAACCACGTTGTCTTTGGGGCCTCTGTGGTGGCTCCGGGGTTTAAGTCTCAGCACTATGAAGCTATTGGCAGCCACTGCAGCATGAGTTCAGTCCCCAGTCAGAGAGCTAACTAACCATGGTACAAGAGTCCTCTCTTGTCTTGCCCACTGTTCCCCTCAGCAGTGTATTTCAGTCACTCTGTCTGGACTGCTCCCCACTCTGTCTCTGACCTCCCTACCTCTGGCCTGCACCCCAGCCCTTGTATACATAATAAAAATAAAAACATGTCTTTTTTAAAAGTACAAATCCATCTTCACACTGTGCTGTCTCATCAGCCTCTAAACCAGAGTGATAAGCCCCATCTCCTAAGTACCAATAATTCTACAGCACTGCCTGTGTAACCCTGAGCAGCTTTACATGGTTTCCTGTAAGCATGTTGAAATGTGCAGTCTGGTATGCATAGGTCTGCTCACTCTGGCTGGGCTCAGCGCACATCATTTTTGACTCTTTGTCTCCCTCTGCTGCCAAGATGAGAATAAATCAAATCAAGCTCAACCTTTTTCTACTTCCTGTCTGTTGCTTCTGCTTGCCTTTATCAAATGCAGACCCCAAGGTGAGATCTGGAAAAGTCAACGATTCTCACAAATTCCTGTGGCTCTCTCTCCAATGAGATACACAAAGAAAGCCCCAAGGCACGCCTGACCTCAGGACCACATCACAGGATGGATGCCCTGGGCAGGAACATCTTTGACATCCCCTTAAAAAACATGATTTGGGACTTATTCAAGAGGAATTTGGAAGAGGTAGAGGAATTGGTTCCCTATTAGTAAAATCATGAACATTTATATCAATTGTCTAATTGTTCCCTCCTCCAAAACCAAACACTTATATAAGAGTGGACTAGAGCTTGAAGATGATTGAGCAGAGGTGAGCGTGGGCCTAGAGGTGGGCTGGGAGGCCTTGCCACTCACAGCACGTTTGACAAATATCCCCAATCGACCATGTCTCCTCCAGATCTCAGAGCCGGCTTGCCCAACACTGAATTTCCCATCTCTCTTCCACCACTAGGCATGCTAACTATCTGGCCCCTCCCCTCTCCTTTCTCAGCTCTACTCCCCTCTCTCCCAATGCTCCCTCCTGTTTCTGTTCTCCCTACCCCAACCCCACCACCACCAGCGCGCACACACACACACCTCTTAACCTTTAATAAACCCCATTTTTAAGACTGTTGCATACCCATCATACCAAGGATGATGTTTTAGTTTATACTTGCTTGTAATTGATAAGTATCAGTTATAAAACCCTACCTTCCCAGGAGGAAGGTTTGTTACAATTCCAAATTCTAAATCAGACTTACTCACTGTGTTGAATGCCAATAGAATCAGTTTGTTCTCCTAAAGCTGATAACCTAATTGCATTGGAACCCTGACTTAGCTGGTCTCCTACCACCCCAGTTATTTCCATGGCATTGGGTATCCCTTGAAAATGACTAACCCCAGGCAAATGTTTAAAAAATACCCACAGAAGACCAATGTCCTGTGTATAGGAAAAATTCCTCCTAAACTTTCCCTAAATTGTGTTTGGATTCATAGCCCTCATTGCCTTCAATCATTATAGGGAGAAAAGAGTAGTTCTCTCTCACCCATCATCATAGACTCAGGCAAATCCTCTTTGAAAAGTGAAAGCCTAGAGGTGTAGTCAAGTGAAGGGGAATTGACTCAGTCTATGGAAAGCGGCCAGGGAAAATTTGCTGGACTTCTGACACGTAAGCAGCAGAACTCTACACCATGGACCTCACTGGTGGCTTCAACCCAATCAAAGGTAAAAAATCTAATCATTTCTCCTGTTTCTCTAGGAGGAGTAACATAGTAAGGTTAGCACCTGCCACATGACACATGCCCTGCTGGGTTCTCCCAACCTTATTTGTTGTTTCCTTTTACAGATGAGAAAGCAAAAGTGTCACTTTCCCATGGTCCTGTCACTGTTCAGCAGAGAACCACATTTAATCTGTCGATCTGCACAGTCTACTTCTACAGAGCTTTTGGTAAACACCTAATGTCAGTCTCCTCTCGCCCAGCTTTGTTTTTAAGACTCGCAGAGGGCATGAGTTCCAGATCTCATTGGTCTTTTCCCATCAGCTTTAAGCCCACTGCATCCCTCCTCAATTTCTATCCTGGTATAGCTTTTCCTGAGCCAGTGAGTCACTTCCTATCTTATTTTTCTTCTCAGCCTCTGACATAATTCCATAATTGCACAACTTTCCCATCAAAAGGAACCGTTGAGACTTTTCTTAAAAGAAAAGGTCAAGTGGCTTGTTCAAGATCACGAATCCACTGAGGCCAGCGGCCCTCCCTGCTGTATGCTGCCTTCTTCCTGCTGGGCTGGTGTTCAGGAGCACGGATGACTGAGTGAGATGGAGGAGTCTAGACTAGAGACTAGCGGTGTCGCTAACTTCCAGCCCTGCGCGCCCGCTCGCAGTAACTGCATCCTGTAGCCCTCTGCACACAGGGCTTTACTGGGCCCTGGCATTTTAGGCTTTTCCCTCCATCTCACATGTAAGAAAACTCAAGTCTGAACACGCCCCTTCAGTAGTTACCATTACTGAGCACTACGAAAGCATCTGCCGCGACTTTACAAACCTCCATTGCTTGAAGCATATTCAGGCAGGCTTTTTCGCCATTTTGTTGAAATAGAAATCGGCTGGGCGGGACAACTGACAAGCTGTAGATGAGATGAGTTGGCTAGTGTGTGGAGCAACCAGGTCTCCAAGAGGAGACCGGCACCAAGTCTCGCCTGTTTATAAAGGGCACGTGTCAAGGTAAGGGTGGAGACAAGTGATGGGGCCAGAGCACAGCCTAGGATTTCAGCATTTAAATCTTAAGTCTTCAGCCCCTTTAATGTGTAGGCTCTGAATAGTCTAGACAAGAACTGATTCCATGCAGATAAATATTCACATCCAATTTTAAAACACCTTTGGTATAAATATAATTTCACCCAAAGGACTAATGTGTTTTTAAACTTTGTGGTTGTTTTGACAACAGTTTTCATTTTAATTTCTGAACCTAGACTGTGAGCACATTCATGAGAAGAGTGGAGAACCATCCCAAATTTCTGATCCCGTGTGTGATCTTGAATAAAGTCCCCATGCTTGTTAAAAAGAGGTGCAGATGAAGCTTCCAGTCAGGTTGGGTTTTACTATGGTGATGCAGTTTAACTCTGTGAGAGTCCTGATTTATTATAAGGAAATGCAGCAAGTGTGTCCGACTTGCAGATGACTACCCATCACAGTTCAGCTAAATGTGTTCTGTGTTCTGCTGATCTATGTCTGGGGAGAGTGAGAGACAGGGGCGGGTTATACTGTCCTGCTTGAATTCTTGCTGCCATCCAGACAAGAAACTGTTCCTGGCTCCAGTACCTGCCCCCTGGTTTCGCCTTTTGACTAAACACTCTTCCCAGCTGGCAGAGAACTTAAAGCAAGCTTCAAGAACCCACTCCCAGCAGCACTGATGAAAATGGCATCTCCCCTCCCTCGGGTTCTTCAAAATACCTGCCCTTCAGAAAGTGGCATGGTGGAGCTCTGTATGTAAGTCATCGGATCAGTGGTCTTTGAGGTCTATTCACAAAGTGGGGTCACAGCTCCCAGATATCCTCCCACCCCATCCCCACTGAGCACTGCAGACCAAGGAGAGGTCCTGCACTTGGCACAATCATATGAGCTGCTTTTTTTTTTTT